TCGAATGGCATAAAATTCAATGAGTTAGCTCCTCACCAAAAAAACTAGATAGGTTTTTGGCGGAGGGGTCTCATTTTTCAGGGTTTTCTATCGCGAGCAGCGCCAAAATTTCAAATTACGGTCTAAGGGTCTGAAACTAGTATGGATATACCCAGTTTTCGACGAGGAATCGAACAAAAAAACGTTTGAGCCTGTAGCTACTTTCTGTAAAAGGTTATGAGTGTTTTTCGAAAGGCCAAGAATTTTCAAAGTTTTTGGACCTTTCCAGTATTTTGCATTTTTCTTCCCGAAAAAAAGGTTTTTTTCAACTTTCAAGGTCATATTCGTGATCAGCATGCTCTGGCAAATCCCAATATGTGTCTTTTATCGAAAAAAAATTTTGCTAAAATTTTGCTTTGCGTGCATCTTACAATATTTCTGCTTCTTAGTAGGTGTCAGTAAGATTAGATACACTTTTTTCAAGTAACGCTTCTGCCTTTTTCCTAAATTGTACGGCACGCATAATTGTGTCACTTATGTTCATTAAAATGCATTGAAAAGTAGCTGCAGTTGGGACGAAGAAACATGCATAGTGAGCTTTTTTTTACTTTAACAACGTGAGAACAGTCGGGACGATGTTTTTTTAAATAAAAGCAACAAACTCCATTTACCTTGATAACATGTACATATATACGACGTAAAATTTGCGACAGGTTCGCAAAAACCCTTTTGACAAGGATGATATTGACACGGGCTCAAACTGATTTCACAATTTCGTCCCGTGTAACCCGCTTGGCATAAGCAGTGATATGCACTTCCATTTGATATACAAAGGGCATTATTGATGCATTGACTTCTGGCACAATAATCAATTGGTGTCTCACATAGTTTTCCTAATATGAGAAAAATGGTCCGTGATAGTGGAAAGAGAGAGAGTGAGAGTGCGTAACCAACCAGTGAAATTAACCGGACAACAACACGATCCATTCCAACACGAGCCACCATTAAAGCATCCATTTGAATTTGGGCATTCAGAGTCAGTTGATGGTGGTATAAGTTTCTGATTACATACACCAACCGGCAACCAGTTCGCTTGGCAATCTTTTCCTCCTGATGCATTACATTCAAAATGACCACTGGCGCACGAGTTCACTGGTGAACATTCCACGTCACAATTAGCACCATAAAAACTCGGTGGACATTGATTTTGTATGTCACAAAATAAGCCAGAGTACCTAAAAGAAAGATAATGAAGAGATAACGATGTACAAAATTCTCGATGATAAACATACCTTGATGGACAAACACATGTATAGTAAAGTATCCCTGAACTATTGTCATAAGCAGTTGCACACGTCCCACCATTTTGACAAGTGGTAGATGCCGTACAAGTAGATAAATACTGGCAACGATCACCGGTAAAACCTTCAGAAAAGAAGAATTCGAAATGTAGGACCATCATGCAAGTTTTATTATCCCACCTTGTTGACAGCAACAATACGATTGGTTATTGATGCTACTTGTTTTACAAAATCCTCCATGTTGACAAATCACTCCTTAGCGAGAGAGAGATAAAAGATCTATATTTATCGACTACATTATTCAGACTAGAAGTACCTGCTGAACACGATTGACTGAAAGAAATATTATGATATTGACAATCAATTCCATACCATCCAGAATTGCATATTTTAGCACCTGTTGTCGGATTACACACGTAAGAACTTTGACAATCATCGTTGACTATACACTGAACGGAACATTGCGGGCCATAAAACGTCGGTCGACAGTAAGTCATCAATGCCAAAGTAAGTCTAAACTCAAAAGTATTTTTAATCTTGATACTAAACATGACTGAAAATACATGTACCGATTCGTTCTTTGAGTAGCATTTGCTTGTGTCGCTGCGTTTCCATTAGATGAAATCTGCTCAAACATACCCGTATCTCTCGACCAAAATGAATGATCAGTTCTATATTGAACATAAAATCGATCGAGTTGTTTATTTGAATCTAAATTAGTTATCACTCCGTTGTCTGTAATATCATTAAATATAAATATTTTCAAACTAATTGTATTCTAAAATAAAGAGCTGTCATTAGCTGTGAGAAACTAATTACTATTCCCAATGTACATCATTTATTTTTGGTAATGCAAATATCAATGGTAATTTCAAGGCGGCACTTTGCGATTGATAATAATTCAAGGTGAGTGTACTCGCCAATGCTTGAATAGACATTACGCCTAATGGACACTCAGTCCAGTTGGTCACCGAAACACTAAATAATCGAAGAGAATCTTGACACACTTCATGTTCCAAGATTGTACCTAGATTTGAAGTAGTAGTGATTATTTATCTTTGTGACACAATTGCCACCTGTGACGTTTGCCTTCATGTATGTATGAATGAAATAGAATTAGTCACTTACCTATTCGAGAAATCTAAGCATACAATTGTCAGAATATTACAAGCAATTGCTGAACAGTTGCGAGTAGAAGTTGGTCTTGTAGCATCACAGCATTGACCATTGGACATTGCGCCAGTAGGGTTTGAAAATTGTAAAAGATCAACAAGTAGTACAGACGGCGACTCTTGACATTCAATCTAAACGGTAGAAGAAACGAAACCATTACCTGTTCTCTCTCAATTATATACCGTATGTGTCAGATAGAAATAGTTGAAAAAACTGCCAAAAGTATCACTCTAACATCTTACTTTACTATCATCTTTTCCCTCTTCAAATTTCGTTACTTCAAGCACTTATATATGTACCATTAGAAGTGACCTACGAGGAAACCATTCCAGTTGAACAAACGCTTTTCTGATTAAAACCAGGTCTTTTTATAATAATTTTTTATGCTTATAAATCTAAGATTCACGTGAGCTCTTCAGGATCTATACTATCTTTCTCTAGAAATTTTGTCACTAGAGATCCAAACAATACCTCAAGTTTAATAGGCTTTTTTACCGACAGTTTATGGAGCAATTCGAGCACATCTATGAAAAAAATTTTTAGCTTTAATGAATAAGTTTTATCAAGTTTAGAAACTGACAAAACCAGAGCCTGTTAAACTAAAACTTTGAATAGATTTTCAGTGATATGATTTTCGGACACAGATAGTAAATAATTCCTATGGGTTAACTGCTGATAAGAAAACAGTTGAAGTTTTTTATGCCATAGGAGCCAACATACAACATTTACAGCGAGGATAGCTAACAGTATTCGTGCACCAAAGTGCAGCTATGAAAGTATTTGCCTGATTTGGCTGAGTAGTTATTTGCAATTTAGTACTAAAAAGTAAAGATAAAATATCTAGAGAACTAAACGGATTGAAATTTGCTGAATGATCTGCACACGGCTCAAACTATGTCTACATAAAATTCCAAATCTATGTCCATCATGGTTTTCGAGATAAACTTTGTGAGAGACCTTTGGACTATAATCGTTTCAATGAAAGTGGAGAGATTGATTAACAAATAATTTGAATGTTTTTGAGATTATCTGTATAAACGCACAATACCATGACATTACTTCAATTTACATCTAGACAGGGCGACATCTCCTTCACACAACTATGCAAGTCCGAGATCGAATACCTCATCTGCTATTCTCGACACGAGAAGATCAAGTCACAGTTCATAGAAGTGGTTCTAATTGGTTGAGATGTACTGTGTAATGGGGTAAGGGAAAAAGAGAAATAAGAGTAAATTCAATAGTTGGATATGCAAAAAAGAAATATGCGTTCTTAAAATAGTCGCATATAATTGAAACAACAGAACGGGAAAGTCAGGAACTTTCTCTAGCACTGAACTTGAGATAAGTGGAAATGTAGTCGAATATGAGTGAAATATATCACTTGCTGTAGAATAAGGCTCTATGCGTACTAATGTCATTCTTATTCCTTCCGTTCAATAGTATTTTTAGCGATTACTGAATGTTTTTTTCGTTTCATACTGGAATATATACACACGCTCCTACAGCATGCTATAGCTATGGTATACCGGTATACTTTCACACGAACTTACAGCTGCCTGGCCAACGATCGGGACATATGGCCAATAATCGAAGGCGCACCTTTTCAAATTCAAAGAGAAAAAATTTTTGCTTTAGACATGAATCTTCGAAGAAAAAACTTCGGAAACTATATTTCTGCTGACGTTGTAGTCAGGATAACGACCGCGTCCTATTCCTCTACCTCCAAACTGACTCAAACTTTCACTGAATATTTCTCTACATGCCTTACATCTATGGTATTAGCGCAAACGTTTTCGGACATCGGTTGAGTGTTTACATAAAATCGAATTTTCTCAACGCAGAAGCATTTTTATTCAAAACCAAAGTGGTATTCGAAATCAGCGTAAGAAACTGCATCGAATGATATACAATTTAGTAAATAACGCATAATAACCTCGTGATTCTCGTTAAAAGTATCTTCTTTTTGTCCATGAGTAGATGCTGATTGTCGTAGAAGATAGTCAGATGTGAGTTCCGTTATATACTATAAATACAGTGCAGGGCTTCACTCTCATTCATCGAAAATTGCTTCGCTTGGAGAATTCGAAATGGAGAGAAAACGGCTGAGATTCGAAACCCGACTCGATCCTCGGGTTCGATCCACTATTCAACGAATATTAAGTAAAAACTCGACATCAATGATTCAATCTTTACTGTAAAAAATAAAGTGTGCCCGTAGATGTGTACAAGTTCTAAGTGCGCAAATACGAATCAAACTGCTGTGATGTTTTCTAGGTGTGTAAAAGTCTTTCTATATGCGCAGGTGTGTAAATTTTCCCATTGTGTTTCTGGCACATCACACCGTACATTTCTAGATGTGCAAATGCGAATCAAAGTGATGTGCAAGTTCAGTGTGTTTTGGGCACACTTTATCTTTTACAGTGTTGATTCGAGAGATGTAGTACTAGTTTTACGAAACTTCAGAAAATAGACAATGGTTTTTGACAATGATTTTTCTGAATAGAACATGCTAATCGAAAACAGTATCTGCTGTGAAAACTATTTGATATATTAAATAAATGAGTGCGAGAAAAAAGCGATAGTACAATGTGTACAGACAACATATTGTCCATAGAATTCATTTTTCGGATTCAGGTTACGTTTTCTCGATTTGTACAGCCACGGAAGAGTTTAAAACTGTTTTTCTAAAGTTAATAGCTTTTAGCAAAAAGTTAAAAGAGTTATAACCACAGTTAAAATAATTTAATTAGAAAATACCAGCAAATTTTCTGTTTGAGTACAAACGGTTTTGATTCGAAAAAATCAAAAGTAGAGGAGTAGAACTGAGCTGAAGTTTTATGAGAAACAACGTACTGGTAACGAACGGAATAATTATTTCTTCAGCTAGTCTGTCTAATAGGTTACTCGATTTTTTGTCGAACTCTAAGTTCGACAAAAAATCGAGTTCCAAGATGTGAAGATGAAAATGGTATTTGAAAGTAGCAGGACTTCGACGCTGATAAGCTTTCTTTTTTTTCCACCTGCATGTGAAAAACATGCAGTCCTAAGAACTATTTTAAGTTTTCGATTCAAAGTTAAAATAGTTATAACTAATTGAAGTTATATATATTTACAACTATAGGTGTTTTAAACTCCACAGTACTTGTAGATCTCTGTCTGCTATTTTTTGTCTTAAAAATCTTTTCCTCATTCTGTAGAACTTGAAGACTTACATGAAATTCACCATTCATTTACTACTGTCTCAGTATCCGTTCAACTTAAATGGAACTGAAATGATTATTACAAACGTAGAAAAAATATTTCGCAGCTTTTTGCATGTGCAGATATAGTAATAGCTGAGTATAATTTTTGACTCAGAAAAGTAAACTAGCCTAATGCAAGAATAATATATATTTTAGTAAGGATTAATTTCATGAAAAGTTTATAGTTAAAAATACAATAACTATTTTTAATCACATAACTATAAATTACAAACTTATAAACGTTTTTTTCTCGATCGATACGGATGAACTTTTTTTCTTGAAGAAGAATCTGGTATATATCCTCGTCAATATTAGTCGTAAAAAGCATGTCGTAAAAGAATTGTGCAACTTGTTTTATCACGTTGATATATCTTTTCTCACAAGTTTTTAAGAATATTAAAATCTTTTGACGTTCGGAGCTATTATTAGAACATATAAACAAATTTTACAAGAAAACACACTATTGTTACTCTACTTACTTTGTTTATGAGCATTAATAAAAATATTGCGTAATAAATATTATACATTGTTAATTTATATAAAATTATATCTGAGTTTTTCGTATACATTGTTTAGTGTAGTCGTATTACTACTGCTCACATTGATTTTGATGATATTAAAAGATGTTTTAATACGTTGACGTGTATATTCAACAGTTTGTTCTATTTATATTCTGATTGTATACCCTATGTATATATATAACTAATGGATATGTTCATAAGATTCACGCTTTCAATCAGTAATTATCAAATAATGTTTAAGAGTAAGAGAAAAATGGAAACTAGTGATCTTGTCACGTCGAACTTTTTGTGTTCTAAGAACAAAAAAGGCGAGTGAAAAACAAAATTGAATAGAATAATCTTAAAGGTGAATAAACGCCCCCTCTTATTTCCTCTGATATTCGGGTAGGAGGAGACTACGAGAGAATATTTAGAACAACAGGATGACTACCTGTATATGTGTGTAAGTATTGGGCTATGTGTATGTGTATGAATGCGTAATAATAATAATAACAATGTTAATGATTATGACAAAAGAGAACAATGCCTAAACACACGCGTTCCTGTTTTTATCATCTATTTTTGTCAACTACCATAACGATTACTTTGCATCAATATGAACGAATTTTCTCTTTCTCAGATATCAAATTGCTCGCACTTGCATTCACTTTGTTCATATTTGTTCTTCACACGATTGCTGATTTCGTATAGAACTCGTTCTTTTTTTTTATTCTATTTTTTTTCATTGATTATTAAGAACCTACATTTATATACATGCATTAGTGACATATGGATATATCGAAAGAGTTGACTATCGACTTACATTATATGTATCAAAAAAATCAGAGAAAAATTTCTATTCTTCGCTACTGTTTTGTACGTTGGGAATGTAAATGACGCTAACTTTCTGAAATCGATTTTAATTAATTTTGATTGTTAGTTGAATGGAAAACGTTTATTTAAAAAGCAATAAAAAAATGATGCGAAACAAAACTGACGACAGAATGATTATAGTTAAATACTTTAGATTAATCGAAATCATAAAAACTTTGACAGATTGAATCATTAAAATATGGTATTAGCAGTAATATTAT